AGCGAGGCCTAATAATTTGTCATTTTCTGAAATGTGCTATGAATGGCAGAATCACCTGTGAGAAAGACAGTGATACCATCATTAAAACTGGAACTGTCTCTTTTTACTTGAACTTTTGTGAAATCAGTTACAAAGTCTTTCCACATAGAAATGTACAAGTCATGTAGCAGAGACTACCTTGTGTCACTACAGCTTTGACATCTACAACAGCAGCTGTGTAAAACAGGAAACGTGTGTTCAAAAACAAAAATGAACATAAAGGAGTAATTCAACATTTTTGGAAATACACTTGTGCTTTCTTCCTATGGGTTAAATGAGAAGGTGGTTAGGACTGTCATACTTTGTTAAATATGACGCTATAGCTAATGGGCCATTAGCTTAGCTTAGCATAAAAACTGGACACAGAAGGAAACAGTAAGCCTGGTAACGAATGCATCTATAGCACTGGGAGCTACTGTATGTGCTGGACTATTTCTTGGGTCAGAGCAGTTGCCAGACACCCAGCAGCGACCCCAAGAAAAAGTCTGGCACACTGTAAAATATAAAATAAAACTTTTTTTAAAATCTTATTTTAAAAATAGCAGTTAGACATTCATTCAAAAACAATTTCCTATTCCTGTATAATGTTTTACAGTGAACATAATCCCTTGTACAGAATTAACAAACAAGATCTAGCGTGCTATACCAGCTGTTGAGGCCTGGTAGGTTAATTCATTTTACTATTTGACAAGCTAGCTGTTTCCCCCAATTTCTAGACTTTGTGCCAAGCTAAGTTAGCCGGCTGCTGGTATTGACCTTCTTACCCACCAGAAAAAAGCAAATAAGTGTGATTCCCACAATGTTGATATTTTGTTTAAATTTTACAAGTCAACAGATTCAAGTGAAGTTTATGTGAAAATAAACAGGCTGCAACTTCCAAAATAAAAGTTTGTAACACGGCCCCTTTTATAGCAAATATCTAATTATTTTACATGTACAGTGGCAGGATGCACCTTGATATCAGCAAACAACTGCAATGTAAAACATTGTAAAAAGTGGCTTGGCACTGATAAAAGTCTGAGGTAAAGTGGAAATGATAGAAAACAGTGTAAACGAGACAAACCTGTTGGGATACCAGTGATATGATTGACCTGGTGGTAGTGTTTCTTGTATACATCAAATTTATAAGGTTGGTAAAAATGACATCTACTGAATCTAACATTTTCTAAAAACAGGGTGTGTGACATGTTTACTTTGATTTGAAGATATGTTCTTGATTCATTTACAGGCCTCTGAACAGTAAAAATGGATTGCAGCTCAAATAGTATTACAGCACAAATTTGCATGTATTTCATTAATTTACAAAAGACAAAAGCTCCGTAGCTAAACTATAAAACACAGCTGTTTAGTTACTGAACTTGAATGAATGTGATTTATACCATGAGCTCTTTTAATGTCCATAAAAAAAATGTGCTCTCTTTGATTTACAAAAAAAGTATCAAAAGTCCTTTGAGTCCTTTTTAGGTCAGCACATGCAGGTTTACCCTCTTGAAGGTGGAGTCCCTCCAGCTGTTGCTTCTGGAAACATCCTTCATTAATGAGAAATAGCTTATATGGAGCATCCATGAACAGGCAGATACAGTTTGTTTTTAAAGTTCAGGAATCCAGGAAGAGCCTCTACATCCGTGACCGACCTGCACTTGGACTGTCATGTAACTCAGTGACCTGAGTCTGAACCCCTCGAACCTCAGACTGGCGCAAACTCTTAACTGCTCAGTCAGTAACGTAAGCAGGCGAGCCGAAATGACATTTACAAAGTAGTTATTCATGAAAAAGGAATTTCCCTGAATGTTTGCAAGTCTACAGCAAAATGTCCCGCCCCCAAACATGACCGCTTCCACAGTCTTCAAAACAAAATATATATCCTGGAAAAATTTTCCCACAAAAAAAAAAAAAAAAGGTTAACCGCTAACACATCTGGGCATTAAATTTTAAAAAAGTGCATTGCTTCAAGTATGTAAACAAAACAATTTCTTTAAAGGGCAAGTGAGACTCATTCTGTCGGTGTGCGCGAGCTTGGCCAGTGCAGTGACTCCTGAGGTTTGGCACATATGTATGAACTCACACACACACCTTCAGTGACTCATGATCATGAGGGGGAATTCCTTTTATTTCCATTTCTTTTCCCTTTTTTTTGTAGGGAAGTCCGGCGCTCCCAGTTTGCAGTCGCTGTTGAAGAAGGAGGCTCTATGACCTGCAAAGACACACCCCTCCATCAGCGCAGTCACATGGAGGTGTTGCAGTGGCTGGGGGGAAAACAGGGTGGCACATGGGAGGACGACGACAACGATGAAGAGGAGGGTGAGTTGAGGATGGATGGAGAGGAATGTGTTGGAGACGAATGCAGCACAAAACAAGAAAGCAGACAAAAGGGAAAAAAACACTTGCTGTGATGGGTGACAGATGCTAAAATGATGAACCAATATGAAGACAGTGATCCTGATTGTTGCTGAACGAGGATCAAAGCTTCATGGGATAAAATTAAAGAATAAAAATCTATGATTTTTGGAAAGAGGAAAGGGGCAGAGAAGGTTGATTAGCAAACTACAATTTACATATTTTTACTGTAAATATAAGACCTACATTTCAATAATTGAGCATTTAAGAGTGCCTTTGAAATATGCCTTTAAGAGAAACAGACATGAATGTCAGTCAGACATGCAGGTGGTTGTTCCTCTGATTTTGCCTGTTTATTTTATCAGACATGCAGGTGGTGGTTCCTCTGATTTTGCCTGTTTATTTTATACTCACCCCTCATTTGCAATCATACCGTAGCTAAGCTTCAGTTTCATAGTGAGCCTTTTTCTTCATATTGGACATGCATCTAGAGCTTTTCACTGACTGATCAGTGGTGTTCAAGTGGAAGAAACTCCACTGTCCTTTGCTCTGTGCTAAATAGCTTCTAATGACTGATACAACAGACAAATCGGGTAAATAATTTCAACTACAAAACAGGCGCTCTCTCTCCTAACTCGGCATCCATTTGTTAAAATGGCATATTGGTAGAGCCGAGTATTGACCTCTGCATTTTGTAGTACTGATGGAAATGTGTTAAGATTTAATGCTTTTCTTTGTCATAGGGCATCTGAGTATCAGCAGGTTTTGGGCAGTCTGTTGAATGAAACCAACAACTGGAGCACCTCACCACAAACTACATTACTTTAATGATAAATGATTAATCAATTAACAGAGAAGATAACTGCCAGATAAATCAATAATGGAAACAATCTTAATCCCTAAAAATGTGTACATTTCTCAAGGTAAAATATAAAAAAGTTGTTTAGTCGACACTAAGAGACAGTTATTGATGCTATTTTAAATTAGGACTCTGGATTTGTCCAAGATTAGTTGCTTTGAAAGGTACAGAAGAGGATTAGGACCACTGTAAAAAAAAAATGTATTTGAGGTCTAATTCTTAGAATTCTGACTCTAAAATCAGAATTCAGATTTTAATCTTAGAATTCTGACTTTTTTTTTTAAAAGTCAACTTTAAAGTCAGAATTCTGAGAGAAAAGTCAGGACTCTTTTTTTACAGTGGCCCCAATTTTCTTCTGTAGAAGGGGCCTGGCAAGCCGGAGCTACATGTCCTCTGTGAAGCACAGAGTGGGTGACTGTAAAATGAAATACTCTGTTACATGAGCAGTAGGTATAAAATAAAGAGGCTTCCAAAATTCTAAACTGTACCTTTAACAAGGGTAGATAACAAACCCGCACATTTAGTTCTTAAAATGGACATTCATGCTGCATTTATCTCTCACAACTATATTCAGATTCCCTGTTTTTAGGACAATTAAAGTATACAGTTATTAAAACTTGTTTGGATTCCTCCATGACTCTTAACTGTCTGCATAATAGCAGGATGGTGCTGTCTTCATTTGGCTCAATAGTAACATTAGATAATCTGGCAGATACAGTATGTGACAGACTACAAAACATGAGAACAGTCACTGAGGACAGCTGAACAAAACACCGAATGACTTAACGTGACAAACTGTAACACTGGACACGTACAACAACACTTGGTTGGTGTATGGATGTCTTTTCCATGCTGATACTCACTCTGATCCTGATGAGTCTCCATCCACCGTGCCCGCCTTGATGCTCACGGCGACACCGTTCAGTTGATCGGGCAGGCTGGGTTTAACCGGGCTGCCTCGACTGCCACTGGACGAGGATCCCCGTGAAGACCCCGAGCCTGGGGCGTTTTCACACGGTTCACTGTGGGTACGGCCGAGACCGTTCCTCTCTACGATTGGAGAAAGCTGCTTCTTCTTCAGGATCCCTGCATTGGATAAAAAACAAAATGTGATTTTCTTTATGAAAATGACACAATAGTCTGAGAAAAATCTACAAAGAAAGCAATTTAGTTTAGTTTAGAATCAAATAATATAGTAGGACAAAGGTATGTATTTTCACTTGTTCTGTGTTTTTCTCCAGTAAAACTGTCATTATCTTTAAACCAAAATAAGAGACTTGATTTATGTGCTTTTTTTTTTTTTCCAGTGGGTGATTTACACATAGACCAGGTGACTCTAGACCTAATAATGGCTAAAACTCTTAACAGTGTTCCTCCTGCAGGTGTAAGCTATGGACTGAAGTGCACCTTTGTGAGGATGGGTGGTGAACATCGGCAGACTGGGAGGCAGCACCATCAAGATGTCCTGCGTCCGTGTGTCGCAGCCAAGGCTCAGCTCGGGATCGGCCAGAGTTTCTGTCTTCATTCTTTCAGTACCTGTGAGTTCGCCATCCCTCGCTGCTGCTGCGTAATCTCCAGGCCAGTGCGTCACACTGAAACTGCCGTCTGCAAAACAAATACAAAAAAATGGATGAAATCTAGGAAAGAACATGTTTAATGCTACTACACTCACTAAGACATACTAAATGCTAACAGTTTTATATGGGATTAACCTAAAGAGACGGTTGACATGGGTTTACACTCCAACAGGTCAAATGACATTGGTTCAAATTACCCCTGTACGTGTAATGTACCCTGTGTACATCTCATGTATTGTCATTAGATGATTAGATTCTTATCTATAAGTGAATCCCAATTCCCTTAATTGCATCCATGTTTCTCTCACTTGTCTCTTCCTTGCATCTTAGTGCCCATCCACGTAAGATGCAAGGACAAAGTGTGAGGAGAAACGAACCAAGGAAACATGTTTTAACTGACGAGATGTTCTTTCCTCGAGCCTTCACGTGAAGTGTCCAGTCACAAACTGGTTTCCATAAAAGGGGTATGTCAATACATAACAGATTTCTGTGAAGGATGCACTTGTGTATCATTGGATATAGCTGCATCACACAGCCCCTATGTTCCTCAGAGCAGAAATAAGAGCTTTGGGATGTCCATCATGGTAGACCAGAAGTACCTCTGGATCAAACAAGAATCGATAAAATAAGGGAACTGGGATTCACCTTATGATTCTGTGATTACATCAACGGACAGAAGACACTCAGCCTTAATCCAGAGAAGACCGCTGGCAACTTTAGTTAAATATAAAAACTATTTGTGATATTATTTCATCCTCGGTTTACCTTTACTAGTGAGCCATCAATTTTTACCAACTTATTTTGCCTAAACTTTTCCACGGTACTATATACTAACAGGTTATCCTTGGAAAAACAAAAATTCATTTGACGTGGTGAAGAACACTTTCTAAGAGTCCTCAAAGACTCAAGAATGGTGTTTGAGAATTGTAGAAATATAAGTTTTGTTGAACACCCATCAGGGTTTTTCAAAGATGGTAATTTAAATAAAATAATAAAAATCTAAGCGTTCCGACTTTAGTGACAATACATGAGAGGCACACACTGGCTGCAGGTTCATAGGAGCTTCTGTACCATGTGGTTGTGATCTCTTGGCCACGTTGGATGCCAGGTTTTCCCAGCATTCCTCTGGGGGGAGGGGACCCTCCTCATCTTCACTGTCACAGCAGTCGCTCTGGTCATCCTCCAGAGACAGGTCGCTCTCTGAGTCGCTGTCATGATCTGCACAGAGAGAACAGGTTGATACAGTTGTACCAATCAGGGCAGGTGAACTACATCAGAGGTGCTGAATGAGAACATTACCATCCAGGTGCTCTTTATTTTCATGGAAGAGTGACGCTTGGTCGTTCAAAGCGATGTGTGCCTGACTGTTACTTAAACCGTCATCCCTGGAAAAAACATAAGACATAAGTTCATAGCCGCTCCTGTCACTCAACGCAGCAGATTCATTTTCATTTCTATACTGTTTTCTTACCGAAGGACGAATGGAACATAGCTCTGCTGGCTCTTGCTGCTCTGCATGGTGCCGTTCAGAGACACACTGGAGTCTCCAAAGGGAAGGTGGTATAACCTGCCGTCCATGTAGTTTGTGTTGCATTTGTATCCCTGGAAAAACAAGGAGGAGGAATAAACTGTTCAGATTTAACAAGGAGTGCGTTGTTTTGTAGGGAAGTTCCTAACATGTGACTACATCCCAGTGGTGTCAGACTGAATGGGAGTTTGCAGTAAGGGACTCACCGAGGCCTTGGATTTGATCATATGATCTGGACGCTTGCGGCTGCAGCAGTATTTCATGGCAGTCCTTGCCTCCTTATTGAGGACAATGCGGAAGATGAAAATAAAGGGGCCCTGGGGTTGGACAACAGAAGAGAGGAAGAGGTCAGGACAAAAGACGGAATCATCCTTTAAGACTGATTCAGAGGCAATGGGAGGACTCACCTGCACACAGTTGAACCCAGCGAACAGGTAGTGGAAGATGATCATGTCGCTGTTGACGGAGAGGAGCGCCAGAAAACACGTGAGTGAAATCAGGAAGAGGACGCCCCCTGCGGTCTTCAGGCCTGAACTGCAGGATATGAATCATGAGGGAGAATGCAGAGAGATGTTGGTGAGGAGGAACTCTATGCATTCATTGATCTGAAGGTGTAGTTTGATAGTAAGTGACCAGAATGCACTGAACACCAGGACGTGTAAAATCAGACACATCGTCTCGTGAACCTGAGGACACGTCAACAGAACTGTGGAATAGCAACATGTATTACGCTTTTTATGCTGTGAAATGTATTTAGCTGATCATTGTTTATACATGAAACCGCTCCATCTTTTCTCTTGTGCAAAGAGTTGTGGGACAGCAGTGTTCAAAACACTTACACAGGAGGCGCTTTCTTCTCAATGCTGTGGTGTCTCAGTGAGCAGGTGGCTCTGGACGACAGGATGTAAAGGAAGATGTTCATCTGCAGACAAAATATCATACTGCATTAAAACTGCACAGCAGGCGTTTGTGAATGTAGACACTAATCTGACCTTTACAGATGAGTGAATTGTGTGCCAGTTGACTGTAATCCAATTGAGCAGTGACGGGCGTGTTCAGACAGTGTTTAACACAAAGCTTTCTTTTCTAGATGTACTACATGCTTTTTTTTGTGTCTCCATTGTGGCATGTTCCTGTGAGCTTTTTGAAACTTCAGTGCCAAACTGATGCAGACTGCTGCTGTCATGTAAATAACGGTGCAACACTCTCCACTGGTCAATCAGACACCTGCAGGGACTCACCGACACCACCATGGCGATGGGTCCAGCAAAGCTCCAGATGAGAGTGTCGTACATTGACAGCCAACAAAAGTCTGGGTTTCCGTACCCTTCAGGATCCAACCCAACCGCCAGACCTGGAGACAAATCCGGAAAGACAGACAGTATCACCAAAATCTCCTGTTTCCAGTATTTGACGTGTGTGAACAAACAGCTTGTTTTCTGTTTGTCTGATTGATTTTTATCTTCTGTCAAAACCTTTTACTATCATGAGGAAGTTGTTCACACACAATACAGCGCTGTATCCAAAATAAAATAACATTAAGCATCAAATTTTGACTAAAGAACATTTTACTGGAAGACATCTCACATTTTCTGACAATAATTATGATCTTGGTGTCAGAATAGAGTGCACACATGTTGAGGAGTCAGCAGCACAAGTGTTATAAAACCGTAAGCATGTCTGATAATGAATTATGAGAACAAACTGGTGAAAATTTGGTCATTCGCTGATTTAAAAATCTGGGATGGCCAGAGAGTCTCTGTCCCTGTTTGTGTGCCAGGCACAATAATACAAGATTGATTAAACAAAGGAAAAAAAACAAAAGTGCCTTAATTTTCTTTGTGATGAGCAGCGTGCAGTAGAAGTGGCCACTTTATTAGGAACATCTGTACAACACCACTGCTCACTGTCAATTCAAGGCTTGATGATAATGTCAACAAAAACTGAACATCATAGGCGTCATATAAGTCGACAATGTCAGAACAGTTGTTGTAGACTACAGTTCAGTTCAATTACATTAGATTGTACAAGTGTACCTAATAAAGTAGCCTCTGAGCGGTAATTAACTTTAATTTTAAGTTACTATAAGCTTAAGATACTCAGTGAAGGAATGTTGCAGGCTTTTCCTGCTGTACTGTAGCTACATTGTGTTTTTAAGTGATAAAATAAACATTCAGACCTGTGATGAAGGCAGGAACTCCCCAGCCAATCAGGTAATAGAATCTCATGGGTCCATAGTTGATGTCTCGCACTTCGCTGATCATGCGGTAAACGTGTAGTCCCTCCAGGAAGAGCCAGGAGAAAGTGCAGAGATAGAAGAAGTGCAGCAGGATGGCAATGACTGTGCACAAGAACTGTCGAGAGATGGAGCGGAACAGTTGGAGAGAGGGATGTTACAGTGTAAATACTGTGAGGAGTAAAATAGGACAGATTGATTACCGGGTTGTCAGCCTGGTTGATGCCCAGGATGAAGATGAGCTCAGAGAAGAAAAGAGCGGTGGCCCCATTGTTGATTATACTCGTCTTGTTGCACTGCATGGCTCTCAGACTGAGGAGGAAGATTGTGGTGAGGAAGAGGAAGCCCAGCGTCACACCAACTGTACTCCAAGTCAGAATTTTGATTGGCAGAATCTCTCCATTCTGATGTAAGGGTCACGATTAGAGGAAAGAAAGGGTGGAGTTAGAGTAAAAATGTGATGACACCTGTGATTTTGGTCAGGAAACAAAGGTTTTGCATCACTCACTTCTCTCCTAGAAATGTCCATGAGCACAGCAAAGCTGGTCATGTGATAACACTGACAGCTGATGTGGGTGCTGTTTCTGAAAACCACTTCACAGCCCTTCGCTGACCAGCCACCGTTACCAGCACTGATGTAAAAGCAAAGGCCAGAGGACAATGTGAGAAGAACTTCATCCAGTTTTCAGTTTCATTATCAGCTCTGTGTGTGTGATGTACTCACAGTATAGTGTGGTTCCAGAAGACACAGATGGGTTTGGAGCGCTCCTCAGTGGTGACCAGACGAAACTGCACGGCGATGGGTTTGTCCAGCGTGTGCTGCAGCAGCTCGTCATTGTCGTGCACTGTGATACTCACCACCGGTGTGTTGATGACTGGACGCTTTGGCACCCTGAGGCAAATACAAACCAGATGTAACCTCAGCAAAGTTTTAAAGGATAAATATTAATTTGTCACACTTAGCTTTAAGCCCAGATGAAAAGTCTACCACCGTGCAACTTTCTATTTGTCAGGACAGTTGAACTCTGATAAAGATTTCTCATTAATGTAAAATATTAGCTGAAATAAAAGCTCTACCAGCCAAACTTGACTGGTTAAAACATCAGCATTTAATGTAATCAGAGTAAATATTTACATATTTTTGACAATAACTCAAAGTGTCTCCATTGAGAACTTAAGGGGGGCTGTCAGAGAAATTCTGTGCATCAAATTAAAATGCAAAATGTAAAAAAAAAAAAAAAAGAGAGAGATTAAAGTGCCTAACCCTTTCGTTGTCTAGTAACAGTGCTTCATGTTAGTTTCTCACCGCAGGCTCCTCTTGTCAGGATCATAGCTCTCTGGTAACAGTGAGGCCAGGCTGTGGAAGATGATCACACTGGCAATGGCGTCCTGCTGGCTGTCGTCAGGCTGGCGTTTCTTCCTGTTAGTGGAGCGATTCCTCACTGAGGACTCTGGGAAAACATCCAGGTGCCTGTGGCCCTTTGTAACCACAGGTGGGTGGAAGACAGAGTCAGGCAGCGTGACGGCCGTATCCAGGTCCACAGGACGAGGGCCCCTCAGGGACTGGTATCGTGGGAGTTTCGCTCCAGCAAAGTTCATCTTTTTCAGACGGTCGACAGAGATGACTGTGGAAAACAACACGCATGCAGGGTCAGAGAGCTTCTGTGACAGCGAGCACCTGCCTTGTTGAAGTGTCTTTGAGTAAGACACAGACGCTCTGCCAGGTCCAGCTGCTGTTGTATGGCCTTTGACCAGAGGTGTAGCCTGGATTTTAGAAATACTTAAGTTATGAGTTCAGACTTCTCCAACTATTCCCACCCTCTAATACATTTTTAACCAGCTACCAAAAGGTCTAACATTTTCAGATTATATTTTTCACATGTAAAGCGACAGGACAATAGGTCATTATAGCTCATATAATTGTTAATTTATATCCTATTTTTGAACATTCTTGTTCTGCAATGCCATTTCAAAACCTTGTCCACACTGACGAAGTATAATTAGGGTTGAAAGATATACTAAATACATGTTTTCCAAGAGCACATGTACCTCTGCCAAGGCACAACATTCACTCATGCAAATGGATCCCTTGTGAAAAATGAGATCCAGAACAACACAAAATGTGTCCTAAAATTCTCGATCTTTGATCGGATCATCTTTTTTGTGACCTTGAACTTTTCCCCCTTTCATCCAATATATAATCACTTAGGGTTGGTCCCCACCAATGTCTGTACCACGTATGCTGATGATCCATCCAGCTGTTTGTCTGTTATCCTGCTAACCAGAACACCCACACACACTAAAGCATAACGTCCTTGGCAGAGGTAAAAATTTAGTTTTATTTGTTTTGTTGCTTAAAGAAGGTCCCGGGTTCAAACCCCGTGGCCACCCGGAGCCTGTCAGCGTGGAGTGTGCATGTTCTCTCCGTGACTGCGGGGGTGTTCTATGGCTTCCTCCCACATCCAACGGACATGCATGTTAGTTTAACTGGTGACTCTTAATTGCCTGTCAGTGTGAATATGAGTGTGAATGGTTGTTTCTATGTGTCAGGCCTGTGCTAGACAGGCAATCTGTCCAGGGTGTACCCTGCCTCTCGCCCATTGTCAGCAGTGATTGGCTGCAGTCTTGTGTGTGTACATGATAAGCACTATAGATAACGGATAGATGGATAGAAGGATGTATTTTGTCAGAAGAAGCCAGATTTCAAATTTAACCTGGGAAAATTGGCCCTTGAGGTCAGAGGGTGCCTCAGTATCACTGAGTCAAAAGCTTAACACAGTCTCCCTTCAAATAATAGAAGAGATGCGCTTACCTCTTGTGGATTAAAGTTGTAATATCAGTGTTTTCATAGCATTATACTTTGGAGAGGAGCATCTAATTAGTTTTACTATTGGGATTGTAAGAAGAGACACACAAAGCCTGATTTGTAGCAGGAAGTACGTATTACTGCTACAGTATTTTTATGGTGAGCATGTGTTTCTCCATTTTTGTTGTATTTGTGTTGGTTTTTACTTGTATTTTTATGTGGTTGGCCTTATTTTATTTACTTTAGCTATATGTGCTCAGATTGGTTCCGTTATCCATTCTTTAATGATTTGCTTTCTTGCTTACATACGCTGTAAATTGCAAACTGTACTTGAGTAACACTTCTGATAAAACCCTTACCTATGTGTGGTGTGACAATGGTGAAGGGGCTGAGGTAGGTCTTCCTCATGTTCTGTGCCAGTGTGTTTGCGTATTCCTCGTAGTGGCGCAGCAGCGCTGCTGTGCCGCCCTCTGTGTGCTGGATCAGCTCCCAGTGTGGCCGCATGTCTGGAGACAGGATGGCGCTGCCCACACGGACCAGATTCTGTCAGGAAACAGCGACAGTTCAATGAGACAGGGTGCCACAGCAGAGTGAAATGAAGTGTGATTCATTCCTGCAGACACAACATGAAGGGCCGTGATGTCCCACCAGGCACGTCTGCCTTCCTATTTATATGCCAGTTTTTGTTTACTGCAGCAACTGAAACAATCTATTGGTTTTATTCTGTTTCATGCTATGTTCCGAATGTCTGTATATGTGGGTTTGTGAGCGTTTCCAGTATACAGTAGGTAGCATGTGGCCGTTACCTCAGTGAAGTGGACGTCCTGTGTAGCTGTGAGGTTGAAGCCCTGCTGGCTGCTCTCGTGCTGCAGCAGTCTCTGTGTGAGACGATAAGCTATTTTCACATCGCTGCCATAGTATTTCTCTGTGTGCAAGGTGGCGTTGGCCAACATGGCTGCTGTCTGCTGAATGTGTCCAGAGTCCAGGAGCGATGCATTACGGGAAAGCTTTTCAGACTGGAGGAAGGAAACAAAACTACTAAATAACTTGTAGATGCTTCATTACTAAGACATATTTTAGCCAAACTAGTGTCTGTTAGTTGGTTCAGACAGAAACATCTCAACATGGACTGGATGGATGGATTGCCACAAAATTTGATACAGATATTCATGTTTGAATTGCTTTATGATCAAATACCTGAAAACTAAACTAATGACATTCCCATGAGCCTAAGCTGCACTTTGTATTTAGTGCTAATTAGCAATGGTTAGAATGGTAAAATGCTACGCTAAGGTGGTGAACATGGTAAACTTTCTACCTGCTAATCAGGATGTTAGCATACTGACATTAGCACTTAGCTCAAAGCTCCAGTGGACACACTCATGGCACAGCTGGAGACTTTTAGATTTGCTTACACCATTATCTACCTCCATATCCTCCTGTTATTTTGGAATTTGCAGGGTTGCATTTAGAACTGACATGGAGAGAAACTACACACCAGGTCTTTCAACTTGCTGAAGGTGACGGAGGTACAGTTGAAGAGACTGGGAGGCAGCCAGCCCTTGTGCTCATCACAGTGTCGGATCGCTGTGCCTGAGAAGCAGGGAGAGGGAGAGAGAGAACATCACATGAAAGGTGAAGAAGAGACTGCAGCTCAGATAGGGTTTGAGACAAGTTTCATATATTTCCATTATTATATGGTAATTTGAGGAGCTGCCAGAAAACCATCATACCAAGTGTTCCCTTGGGACAGGGAACTGCTGCAGGGAGACCGAACTTAGTCCTGGGCCACCAGATCCCAGCCTCGATGGCCTGAGGGCAGCTGTCATAGATGACTGAGAAAGACAGAGCAAGAAGGAGGGGAGAGAGATATTTAATGTGCTGCTATAACGAAGCAGAGGTTATAAGTTAAGCATTACAGTATCAAGACTGGTGATATATTCTGACCTTCACAACCACTGGGAGAAACCTCAGCAAAGGGGTTGTCACAGCGGTCACACTGGCGCCCGATCACACCAGGTTTACACTGACACTGGCCGATCTCTCTGTCACACGCTCTGGAGATGGAGCCGACTGGGTAGCAGTCACACAGCAGGCAGGTGTCACTGCCTTCAGGACGGTAGTGGTTGTCCTGGAAACAAGATCAGAGCCACAAAGTGCTGATTAACAGTTTTTTAAATAAATTCTTCATTACCAGCCTTCATCATTTTCATACATCTGTGCCTATTTCTACCTGAGAGTTATAACAACCTGCAGCTGCTTGTTCAAAAACATCTGGCTGTTGACAGACGAGGTTCTCAGTTATGTTCCTCACCCTATGTTTTCCTAGTCAGCAGGTGTCTCAGTCCATATGTCTGTGCAAACTGACCCGAAGCACGATTTGAGTATGTTCACCCTGAAAACTGATAACATTGTCTCATACAGTACAAGGTGCAGAGCTAATACAGGAACTGCTGATAACTGTAGAACCAATAAACTGAACGGGGGAAGAAGAGGCTTGTAAAAAATATCCATACAACATACTAAGCTATTAGTACTATGCCTCCCGCTTAGTCACGTACTGATGAATCGAGACTGCAGGTCAGTAACCTCACCTTACAGCGACACTCTCCACTGGTCTTGTTGCAATCAGAATCAAAGCCCTTATCGGTGTGACAGTTACACGGGCCGCAGGTTTTGTGACCCCACCAACCTCTCGGACAGGGCAAGTCAGTCCTGTGGGGATTCACATGATTTGCTTAGTTAATTTTACCTGCAGGGTGATGGAACGTAGAGTGCAAGAGGAACTGTGACTATCAACACACATTGTTTAATATATATGTGCAAAAACGTACTTTTTTTCGCAGTAATGGCCAAAGTAGTTGCTGGGACAGTCACAGGTGTAACCATGAGAGGGGCCAAGCTTCCTGGTGCAGGCTGACTCGTGTTCACATGGGTTTAATGAGCAGACATCAGTGCAGTTGGTGCCATAGTAACCTGCAAAAAAGTGGAATGGACAAAAATGAGCTGCTGTGCAGTCACATCTGTGAGACCGTAACAAAATGTGTAATCGTCACATTTGAACAAATTAAAAAATTGGTGTACCTATACGGCTACTGTACATATTCACAGTGTTAATCAAATAATTATGCTTCTCACTAGGAAAACAATTCATATGGTGTGATGCAGTTTGTGTGCCAAAAATAACCTTCCATCTCTGTAAAATTGATCATTGTTGCTGACTTCTGAATGTGCACACAAACTGACCAGGGAGACAGGTGCAGGAGTAGCTGTCCCAGTCGTCGCTGCAGTAGCTGTTGACAGGACAGGGGCTGGAGCTGCAAGGGTCGGGCAGGGTGCAGCCCGACTCCACGTTCACCTTCCTGGCCTGAGAGACACTCAGAGCCCCCCCAACACGCAGACCCTGCAGGGCAACACTCACAGATTTTATAGGGTGTGGCATTTGTTGTGATTAGTGAAATGTTCAAAATAAGGGATTTGCACATGTTGCAGATTTGATAAAATGCCACAGAAGTGGCTTTCAAGAATTTAATCATAGAGTAGGTCTTATATGGCTGAAACGTGGCTGTTGTTTTTACTTCCAGGCTACACAGAACTGTTGTTGGAACAAATTTTAATGACCATATCTCAACATTAACGTAGTTAGGACCTGCAGATAAAACAGTATTTATATGCAGCCTAAACATATAAAACTCAGATGTCTTCTGAGCTAGAAAACACCAAACCAGAGCTCACTGTGCGGGTTGCGCTTTTGAAATAACCTGGATATTGTCTACTTTTAGACATCATTACAAACACTGATGTGAACAGGGTCTACAAAGGGGACACACCTGTATACAACCACGGAAGCCATGCTGGATTTTTCCATCAGGCCTTGACAAACCACCCACGCTCACAGTCTTCAGCTTGGAGTCCTGCAGCCTCCCGTCGACCTCCATACTGGCCTGAAAAGGTACACAACATCACAGAATTTATGGTTGCAAAACTACAATGATTTTTTTCATAGTAATTTGCAGCAGCTGTAATATACCCACTCACCAGGTAGAGCCCATGATCTAAAGACAGCACAGCTTTATGGTGGCTCGCCGCTCCTCCCAAACTGCTGATATCCAGCTGTAAATGATGCCAGTCTCCATCATTCACCAGCACTTCCTCAACGCGAGAGAGAGTCAAGTCTTCGCCTCTGTGCAGCCCCATCAACACACTCCCCCCGCGTAGCTACAGAGGCAGCAAGAGAGTCAAGAAAGGAGAAGAAACAGCAGGAGGGAGATTGAGCCGATGTTCAGTAACAGAGGAGGAAAATGACAACCAAGAATCAGCGCCGCGTCTGCAGTCAGAGTTCAAACCTTGATTTGCTACACATTGTGAGTGTGCTCGGTTGGAAAATAGATTGCTGAACAGTTATGAAACCTCAAAGAGGCATCGGTCTAGACAAGCTCCTTCTCGTGTGCTGTGTTTAGTCTTAATGTTCTCTGATATTCAGTGTTGTGCTGTAAGTCCGATGGCCAACAGGTGGAGCCTCTTTTCCACATTTTTTGCATCTTGAAACTTCAGGTGAGGATAGATGTCCTGCCCTCACTGGACCCCACACCCATGAAGAAATGTCCACAGAGTTAAATCATGCATGATCCAACTTGGCCTCAAGCAGGAGGGGACCAGAGTGTAGCCACAAAGTATGTTTGCATGTATCTACAGTGGTGTGAAAAAGTATTTGCCCCCTTACTGATTTCTTATCTTTTTGCATGTTTGTCACACTGTAATGTTTCAGATCATCAAACAAATTTAAATATTAGTCAAAGATAACACAAGTAAACACATCATGCAGTTTTTAAATGAAGGTTTTTATTATTAAGGGAAAACAAAATCCAAAACTACAAAGCTTTCAGATCATCAAACAAATTTAAATATTAGTCAACGATAACACAAGTAAACACATCATGCAGTTTTTAAATGAAGGTTTTTATTATTAAGGGAAAACAAAATCCAAAACTATATAGCCCTGTGTGAACAAGTGTTTGCCCCCCTGTCAAAACACTGGTTTATCGCACCTGAGTTCAATTTCTCTAGCCACACCCAGGCCTGATTACTGCCACACCTGTTCGCAATCAAGAAATCACTTAAATAGGACCTGCCTGACAAAGTGAAGTAGACCAAAAGATCCTCAAAAGCTAGACATCATGCCGAGATCCAAAGAAATTCAAAACCAAATGAGAAAGAGAATAATTGAGCTCTATCAGTTTGGAAAAGGTTATAAAGCCATTTCTAAAGCTTTGGGACTGCAGCGAACCACAGTGAGAGCCATTATCCACAAATGGCGAAAACATGGAACAGTGGAGAACCTTCCCAGGAGTGGCCGGCCGACCAAAATTACCCCAAGAGCGCAGCGACAACTCATCCAAGAGGTCACAAAAGACCCCACAACAACATCCAAAGAACTGCAGGCCTCACTTGCCTCAGTTAAGGTGAGTGTTCATGACTCCACCATAAGAAAGAGACTGGGCAAAAATGGTTTGCATGGCAGAGTTCCAAGACGAAAACCACTGCTGAGCCAAAAGAACATAAAGGGCCGTCTCAGTTTTGCCAGAAAACATCTTGATGATCCCCAAGACTTTTGGGATAATACTCTGTGGACAGACGAGACAAAAGTTGAACTTTTTGGAAGGTGTGTGTCCCATTATGTGTGGTGTAAAAGTAACACCGCATTTCAGAAAAAGAACATCATACCAACAGTAAAATATGGTGGTGGTAGTGTGATGGTCTGGGGCTGTTTTGCTGCTTCAGGCCCTGGAAGACATGCTGTGATAAGTGGAACCATGAATTCTGCTGTGTACCAAAATATCCTGAAGGAGAATGTCCGGCCATCCGTTTGTGACCTCAAGCTGAAGCGAACTTGGGTTCTGCAGCAGGACAATGATCCAAAGCACACCAGCAAGTCCACTTCTGAATGGCTGAAGAAAAACAAAATGAAGACTTTGGAGTGGCCTAGTCAAAGTCCTGACCTGAATCCAATTGAGATGCTGTGGCATGACCTTAAAAAGGCAGTTCATGCCCGAAAACCTTCCAATGTGGCTGACTTACAACAATTCTGCCAAGATGAGTGGGCCAAAATTCCTCCACAGCGCTGTGGCAGACTCATGGCAAGTTATCGAAAACGCTTGATTGCAGTTGTTGCTGCTAAGGGTGGCCCAACCAGTTATTAGGTTTAGGGGGCAAACACTTATTCACACAGGGTTTTGTAGTTTTGGATTTTGTTTTCCCTTAATAATAAAAACCTTCATTTAAAAACTGCATGATGTGTTTACTTGTGTTATCTTTGACTAATATTTAAATTTGTTTGATGATCTGAAACATTACAGTGTGACAAACATGCAAAAAGATAAGAAATCAGTAAGGGGGCAAACACTTTTTCACACCACTGTATGTGCATAAAGAAATGGTGCAACTGCATGTTACTCTCACCTGCAGTGTGAGATTGTGCTGCAGCCCGGAGGAGATGTGCAGCAGTGTGGCGCTGGCCTGACGTGTGCGGAACATGAGCTCTACATGCCAGGGGACGGAGGCCTCCACCACCGCCAGGTTGTTCCACTGCAACAGGCTGTCACCCAGGAAATGCTGCGGGCTGGCCATGACTACAGCAACACGATAGCAAAAAGCAGATAAAATGTAAGGAGAAAGTAAGAGGCTGGAAGAAGGCACAGTCACAGTTTCACAGTAGGTGACATGGGACAGTGAATCACTACTGTCAACCAGCAGGTCCAGCATGTTCTCTGATCATATCCCAGTTATTGCAGCTCAACCACTCTCACTCTCTCAGTCAATCAGGTGTAAAGACTCATACTCGGCAAGCTTTGGTGGCTGATATCAACCCAGGTGTTCACACAAAGCTCTTATCATTGGGTTTACAGCTCAGTAATTGCAATGATCAGCAGCCTTTTAAACATGTTGTGCTGGAAATTCAGGGCAAAAAGTTACAAAGACATTGAGGTAAAAATTTAAACAGCATATGATCAAAGTTTCTGAGCAGTTTTCATGTTGATGAATTTGACCTTCACTGTGCAGGAATTGATCAAGAATGGTGTTTTCACTTTCATCTGCTGAAGATGCTCAAATTAAGACTGAATTTAAGAAGTGAACATACGCACATGATTTGAGCTGGTGTAAAACCAATCAGTATGCACAGTGTGATGTGGAAACCTTAAACCTCCTGTGCACATACAGTGATTGAAAATAGAAACAAACTATTTGCATATAGATTTAGATTAAGATTTAGATTCAAAGTTCTCTTGGTCTGATAAAAACTTTATTTGAAATGATGTGAAATTAAAATTTCAGTTTGGATTTGTTTCAAGTCATTTACATCATTTTCAAATATAGTTCTTCTTGTGAAGTTCACGAATCAGGAGGCCGTTGTGACCTTTGTGCACTCGTGCACCAACTCCGCAGACCAAGAGAAGCTGTCTGACTTTCACATGTCAACAAAGGGACACATAAGGACACTCTGCCTGATGAAAAACTGTTTCCCTCTCATTAGGCTGTCTCTGTACAAAGTGAAGAAAAACCTGAATCGCCCAGATCGAAATGATTGATTAATGACGGTAAATAAGCCTGAAGCACTGCGGCTGTCGGCAGGAGAGAGGAGCGAGGTGCAAAGAGAACCCAGTGGTTCACTTTCATTCAAAATGTCTGAAAATTAGGAATACTATAGAAATGAGTGTTTTTATCCTGTGTAACGCTGCAGTTTTATGGTTAGACTTTGTTATTTTTGTTAAGTGTTTTTTCTTCTACATGTCCATGTTACATGTCAGATTAAATTTTTGTCTTTTGTTATTTTACTTCTTATTGTGTTACTAACTAGACAAGCTGGTTGGTTTGCATAAGATGTTTGTGACACAATAAAACCAAACCATTTACATGTTAGATTTTTAAAAGGTTGTGTAGAAACATTTACATTGCTTGTAAATTGATGTTTTACATACACACACATACATAAACAACTGTACTGTAAAATGTGCCTATAATGGTGATGTTGATCACTCAAGACTGTAGTTGGTTATAATGTATTCAAGGCATCAAAGCTCATTAAATCATCTTTGGAGATCAGTAAACTAAGATCACAGGACATTATGTCACACCTCTACACTCCCCACCTGTTACTGTACATCCATCACCATAACTCACTGTACACAGCTGATTTTCCACCTGGTATTCTTAAATGCAACAGTCTGCATTAACAAGTTTCTGTTACTGTTTCCACCAGTTTATTTCAGGCTGACTGATGACGGTCTCAGGACACGGATCAAAATGGATCAGGTCAGAAAAATCTGTCAGATCTCATTTTACATGGGACTGCGGCCCCTTTGAGGCCCTGCACTTTTCTTCTTAACTTACCTCTTTCACAGGTTTGTCCTCCAAAGCCAAGTGGGCAGTCACAGCTGAAGGAGCCCCACAGGTTCGCACAGGTCCCTCCATTCAGACACGGGCTGTTGTTGCAGAAATGTCTTTTGGCAGAGCATCCTTGACGGGTGAGAAAATAGGAGGTTGAACTCTCCATTTCATCAGGCCTCCCTCATTATTTCATCAAAGCAGCAAACAGTCAGAGAGTAATTAACTATTCATAGCAAGTACAATGATCGTTTCCCATTGACTCTACTTCCCTGCTGTGCTCATTATAGTCAGTTATTCTCTTGTCTCTCGCTTGGCTGATCAAACATTATCCGACTGCAAAGCAGTCACAGAATTAAGAGGTAAAGTTAAGGACAATGATTAGAAGCCAAACAGCAAAACAAACAAAGCGGCGCATACCTGGCAGAGTGCCGTTGTTAGCTATGAAGCTGGCCATGTCTATGTGCTGATTGTCAATATGTAGGTTCCTCATGCAGCCCACAAACTGCTGGTTACCAACAGGAAAATCTTCTGGAAGTTTGGGGACTCCTCCAAGGAGCAGGGGGCCAGTCAGGTCCAGAGATCTGACAAGACAGAACCCAGCATTTACACACCCGTACTTTTGGTCTGTCGCCATCACAATGCATAATCAACATTATTACAGGGGAAAAAAAAACACATGAAAGATTAATCACAGATAGTTTTGCAGTGTTATTTCCCTCCTAGAGATGAAAACAGATAGAGGATAAACATCCCAGCTAACACCCTGGAGATGTAGAACTTCATCTCAGTACAAGTTTACTTTCTTTCTTAAAGAGCAAATTAAATGACTGAAGTCAGTACAGACGTAATGAGAGAATCTATAAAGCAAAGAGAGAAGGCCTGTTCTTGGAATTCATGTTGCAAAAAAAGATCTTTACCGAAAGAACTCCTACTTCTGCTGATGTACTTACTTTTTGGATCCCGACTGGCTGCCCTGAGCAGAGCAGGTGTAGTTTCCAATCATGTGCCCAAACCTCAGGGCCACAGAGGTGTCACAGTTGTCCACCGTCACTACAACGACCTTCTGGTCCGAGGGGCCCTGCGGGAGGCCGGCCTGGTTTAAGACTGGCTGTGGAGAGAGAGACACACTCATGAATATCAAGATAAATTATGGAGCGTCTTCCTTATGTTTCAAGGGGGCCATTCAAACAATGAGGATGAAGAACATGAAGAAGTTGCTTTATCTGTATTATAAACACCAAGTTTCTGTGTAGAGAACTTTCTAATGTTTGTAGCTAATTGTTTTTCCATCCAACTGAGGATTTAACAATGCTATCTATTTTTTGTGGTGTTTAAATTTTACCTCAAGAGTATTCATTACAGAATAATATCAGGATTTGAATTAGTGCAGCTCAGTCTAGCACAGCAGAAACAGTAGAGCCTGATTTAGACAGGCAGATAAAAGAATGTTATTATGGAGTGTTATGTCCTATAATATGATAATTTTTTTTGAGAAGCCCCTTAAGATTTGTCAGGGGGAAAAAAAGCAGATGCTGTATCGCCATGCTGCTATTTTTAAAATAGTATTTAGTCACTCAGCATTTCTTATACAACGGCTTATAATAAAAAATTAAACCATAAAGCAGTAGAGACACTTCTGGGAATCTCAGCCTGGGTCAAGATGCAGATACTGTAACTTTAAAATTGGATCTTTGAAATCAGAAAACAACCAAACACTTGACCTTTTGCATCACACTTGGTTCAATCCCGGCTCAGCTCCGGTTCACTGTTGTTGAGCATTTTAATAATTTATATCATAACAGCTAGAGCCAGAGGCAGCGGCTGGCAAGCAAACGCACGCACGCACACACAGAAAGGCTTGCGCTCTCCAGGACACCGTCCCTGTTCACAAAGGATCTTCTTTATTGTCTGACAAATCAATAGGTGGAGCAACAAAAGAAGGAGGGGTCTGTCGGGGAGAGAATGATGATCCTGTCAATAAAAGGCTGTGACCTTTTTTCAACCCAACCAGTTTCTCTGAGGTCACGTAGAGCTCATAAATGTGGGTTCAAGCTGGTGCTCCAGTGACCGAGCAGCACCAACTGCTATGTGACCGACTCGGCAGCCCGTTGACCAGGAAAGGCCACTGAGCTCTCAGCTTGTCCCGAGATCAGAGATGATATGAGCATTTGGCTCATTGCTGATGGCTTGAAAACACATATGGTTTCTGTATATATTATCTGGCTATTTAGTTCTTCATGAGGTTAAACTAAAATCCACCCCCATGCCACTGGCATGATAAGCTTTAGGATTTAAAATTTCCGGATTGCTCTGCTGTTATGAAGTCTAGTCTTTGCTGTCTGATCCCTGCATGTCAAAGCTTGCTCAGCCACAGACAAACTGTACTGCAGATTTTGTTGGCTGGTGCAGCATCTTTAGTGGCACTGAACCTATCATAGGTTTATTAAAACAAAACACTTTATCATGCAATACATGAATGGCAAATAGAATTTTAGCCCAAGGCGCTGCCACAATATAATTTCTCTCACATGATTTTCTTCCTGAGTAGATTAAATTAAGCCTCTGTGAGCCTCTAATAATATGAGTCTGTAACTGCGAGGCTGTCGGTGTTTCCGCCTGCACTCCCTCTGCGCCTTGTGATCACAGTGTGCTGAGTGATATAAAAGAAACGAGAGCAATAGTAACTGAAACCGTGTGTCTGTTTCCTTACAAGACCTCACCTGGTTCTCTCTTTGAAATGGAGATGTCAATTCTAACAGTGCTGTGGCATATGGCCATGGACATATGTGCTACACAACATAGAAGAATAGGAGACAGCGTTGTTGTACACCAAGGCGGAGAACTGGCTTTAGCATAAACAGAAAAGCAGCACAAGAACATTTAACGTATAAAACAAATATGCCACTATACTCAAAGCGAAAGAGAGAGCACACCTAAATTTGTGTTTTTATCTGCTGCTGGTACAATTTAAGGGATCACCGAAGACAGTAGGTCTCCTCCTCCATGGAGCACAAATGTCTATACTGTAGAATTTAACAAGCCGTAACCTGGAGCCCCACACCAGTAATCCAGCAGAATGATGTGGTCTGTCCCTATACAGCAACGCTGCTAGCATGGCTAAAGTTACAAAGTACTTAAAACAAAGTGTGGATTTGTGGGTCAGTAAAAATCAATTTAGAAATACAGATTACACTTGAGACAGAAGACTTCTTAAATATGATCTCCCCCACTCCTTCAGACTCACAGACCCAGAGAATCCAGGGTGCAGACTGTCTGTCAGGATACTTGTGGGTTTATTATCATGATCAGTTTGTTGGCAATGCCAACCGTGCAGGCTGGCTTACTCCTCAGGCTGCAGTTCAAATCATGATGTCAAGTTAAAACTCTCTAAATTAGAGTTTAGTAAACATTTTGCAAGAACAACTTGAAAAATGTTTAGTATTTTCTGAGGAGCTCGATTGTCATCTCTGAGCTCTACAAAGATCTGAAATGTTCAACAAATTCAACAAGCTTTCCATTGAGTCCAGCCGCCCTGTTATTGAGCACAGTTCCCACACTTATTTCTGACTCAGTCTCCTCACTGTTCAGTACTGAAATGTTGAGTAGATGGATGCTGAGACTAACGGTGGCTTTTATTTTTCAGTTCAAGTTCCTTCAGGCCAATTTGTTACAAATTTGCTGATGATGAAACAAACAAACACAGCGTGTGAATTACCAAAGGTGAAACCATCCGACATGCTCTTTTTCCACGGTTTTCCCTTTGCTGTGAAAGCTCTGAAGCAGGCAGCGCTCCAGATTGGACGCTCCTTTCACTGACCTCCGCTGTCATCAGTCACGGCTGTTGACTGTCCAATAATGAGTGTCTGTCAGGGCGTCTTTCTGCGGCACAAAACCCCGTCCTGTCAGCGCTGACTGGAACGCACATATTTGCCCAGTGCCACATCAAACACTGCTCTCACCCGCCGCTACAGGGGATTATGGGAATATGAGTTCCCTGTCACAGAGGGTGACAGGGGTTGTGCAGGAGGAGCACGGCAGAAACCAACACAAATATGGGATCTAAGATTGACTGGAAAAACCATAGCAACAAGATGGCTCGGCCCTGAAGCGCAGCGTCCTCGTTCAAAGCCTGAGTCAATACTTCTCTTGGCTTTTCTTTCCCTCCTTTTGCTCCTCTCTTGCTCCAGTTTTCTGTCCTCGCTGGAGAACAGAGAGAGAGGGGCACCTTCCCCTGGGCTGCATCATTCACTGCCCATGATCCCAAAGGAAGCAGAGCCAAACACAAAGGCGGCGGTCATTGCCATTCTCTACAGTCCCCCACCGTCCTGAAAGCCACATTTCAATCTAAACTGCCCCCTTCCTGTCTCACCCTGCCCCACCCCCTGTGGACAGGGACGGGTCAGAGAAGGCCACTGTGCAACACCTCCAGTGGGAGGAGCAGTGTTTCTACCTCAGCGACTCACAGGATGAGGAAGAGGATTAGTTCAGCTAGAGCAGAGTGGCTGCAGCTGGATCTGGACACTTCTGGGATGTTTAGTACTATTGGCATTCTGTCTATTCAACATAATGGATACATACAAGGCACTCAGTTGGCTGTTTATTAGGTACGCATAATTAAAACTAAAACAATCTAACTTGACACACAGTCCTGCAATAAATCCTCCTTCATGACGGTTATAATGTTTTTGTTTTAAAGCGGTGCTGATTCAAGTGTAAGATCATTGTGGAGGCTACAGTTTGTGGTACTGTTGAACTGTACTGTGTTATACTGACACGTTTCTATTAATTTGGCTAAATAACAGAAACCTGTCTTTGTATAATGGAATACAGTACATTCATTTTGCACACATTAATGATATAATTAAGTCAGTTAATACTTAATGAATTACCAGTTAATGAAAGTAGCAATGCAATTACTTTATACACCAATTTACAGTATATGACACTAAAGTATCTGCAATCCCGGTACATAAAAAGGTGTTTCAGAACAGCACATATAAGGCTGTTTTTATCAAACCGACAGTCCGATAGAAACATCTACATGTTGCACCTGTGACAACTACCTTAAAGCTGCAAAACCGACACTAACTGGACCATGTCATCCTCAAACATGCAGCACACTAACAAATGCAAGAAACAACAAACAAAATCAAGAAAAGAGTTGTTTGATTTTGTGTTTGTATTTTTTGTACCAAAGTGATTAACGAGACTACAATCTCTTGTTTGCAAAGAACTGAAACAGTTTGTTTTTTTTCCCCCAAAAACTGACAAGATTGCCCCGTTCATCACTTCTGCTGGCTGAAATCTGACATGGCCATGTTATCATAGACACTGAATAGAAAATGTGCACAGTGGGGGTGTTGCCTGGCAACATCTTTATGATGCAAAGTGACTTCCTCAATAGACTAAAATGTGACATCCTGTGTGTTGATCCTGGGTGGGAAAGTACTGAGAGAGCAGAACCAACAGCTCCATACACTCCTCCACTGATTGAGTTGTTGTGATGCTCTTACAGAGAAAAGTAGCAGGCAAAACATGTTTAGTCCAGTATGAGAATACTTGAAAACACCCTGGATTTCCACTCTGTGACTTTAATTCATTCACCACGCCCTGTCCTGTCTTGTCTGCGTCTCTCCCTTCGTCAGTGTCTAGTTGGTATGCCGGCTCTCTTCCAGATCATCAGCCTGTCAGCAGTGATTCTTTCCTCTGACAGAGCAGGAGCACTATAGAACATACACAGCTCAGGTGTTCCTGTCGCATCTCTGGTTTACATCCATTACAGTTAGTCTATGAATGTCCTAAAGACCACAGATGAAGCATGTCAGCTTCCACTTATCACTGCATGAAAACTACACTGTCACCTGCAGCAGATCAAACCTCAGATCTGAATATTTTAGGTAGCGATGTCTGCTACTGTGCTGCCACACCTGATGAGGAAAGCAGCTGCAGATTTAACTGAAGCCACATCAGCTTTTGGATAATAATTAAAAGAAGGAAATTAACTTAAAGTAAAATGTAATTTCTGTGTCACATCCCTTGTGACAACAGTAATCACTGTGAAGGTTTACCATGCTCACTTTTGTTTAAAGGGATAATTTGAAATTTTTGAGAAATATACTTATTCTTTTGCTCTGCAGTATATCTGTGGCTGGACCTCTCAGCTTTGTTGCACAAAGTTAGATTAGACAATCAATACATCTCGTCTGAATATAAATATAAAGCCACAGCCAGCTGCTAGTTAGCTTAGCTTAGCTACCATGGCTCAGTCCAATCTATCACTGTTTTTTTAATGTGAAACTGTTTGTGAAGCCATCCTGACCAGGACTCCATAGAAAAAGAGATCTCATATCTCAATGGGACCTCCCTGGTGAATTAAATGATAAATAAATAAATCAATAAATCAATTCATCTCCTCATTTAACACTTGACCAAAACCAAATAAGCATTTTTCCCTATATGATGAAATATTCATTTACTGGGTGATTAAAGCAGCAAACCAGCCATGTCTAAACTAATAAGATGTAGCAAATCTTTGGGGAACCCACTTGTTGTGTATTTATTTGCTGCACTGTGTACCAAACAACAAAACCTGTTTTGCATTATCTTTTTGACAGTGTGGAGACTTCACACAAAACATTTATACTTATTTTTCTACAGTGTAAAAAAATATTAGGCTACTACACATTAGAACTTTACAAGATTTTAAAACCTATTCATAAACCACACTCTGCAAACTAATTTTCACTCATACCTTATTGTAGTAGTGAACTTCCACCACGTGCCACTGGCCATTGCTGACACCTCCAAGGACATAAGGTGACACTGTGGTTTTGGTCTCACCTGGGAAGCAAGCAAAGAAGTGAACCACTGCACAAGAATACATGCAGATAATCATAACATTAATGAACTAGTAAACTAATTACTGTTTTACCTGCAGAGAAGGTGACCTGTATCTGTTCATTGATTATTTCCATGGCAATAAAATCGTGTTTCTCATTGAAGCGGCCATTGTAGAGTAACAAACCGTTGGGCTCTTTGGTAGCAAATCTGAAAAACAGACAATTTAATTCAGTTGTACTCACTGGCTAACCTCATGACTATTTTGTTGTTGACATGTTCTTTCATTTCCGTGGGCATAGTTTATTTTTTTTTTGTCTATTTCAAATTACTACAGCAATAAACGTGTATTAATCTACAACAGAAAATAGTTCCCAATAAATTCACTGTATACAGCTGTTTTGGGCAAAAGCTACAGAGCCCAGCTGTTTTAGGAAATTATTTCAATAACTGAAACCAGATATTTGTAAGACATTTAAAAAAAATGTCTTCAATAGGAAGAAATGGGCTTAAATAGGATTTGTTGACGATTATAAAAATATGGTAAACTCCAGTCTTTGCATATAAACGACATGATTACTAAGGTGTACTATGAAAGCATATGCTTTGCATTTCCACGTGTGTATTCATAGAGAAAGACAAGAGTAAAAGAAAGGGGGCGGTGGTCTGACCTATTTAGAAATATCCATGCTATCCCCTCACCTTGCTTTCCTTTTACACTGGAGTGCTCCTATCACACACAGTGAAGAGAACATGCGACTTGCTATTGTGAAAATGAAAGATCACTGAAGAGATAGTGAGGTTAATCGCGAGCACAAAGCCAAATCAGATTTTAAAAAAAAAGGCACAGACGCAGTCAAGGAATCCAGACTCTGCATGCCATGAATAGACATCACAGAGCCACATTAAATGACACACTACAACACAAAGGCAGAAAACTAGGGCAATGTCAAAGTAGCAGGGTGGAGGAATGCATTACCGCAAGAAAGGAAGAAGCACACAAGAAAACACAATGCAGAGTAATGACAAGGACTGCTTGAACATGTGTTTTCTCCTGGTGGAGAGCACAGACAGCTGTCATTGCAGTAAGCACAGCCTCAGGTTCAGATTTCTCTTTGCATCCTGATGATGAAACCTGAGCTGCTGGGGCCATCATATTGCATATTAATGTGCATTTCAAGATATCTACACACACACAGATCCGACTGTGAGACCAGATCGCCGATAGTGCCTTGCTCTCTAACTGGGATTGAAGTATGTGTTGGAGCACGTGGGTTAAAAATATCATGCTTTTACCTGTCAGCTGTGGTCTGCAGTCGTAAATCTGATCCTGTGGAAATGGGTCACTGGGATGTGTGAAAGACAAAAAACAAAACATAATCCCAGCACTAACTTCTTGATTTATTCATTCTCCATCCCACTGGGGACCCAACAACGAGTCTCCTGCGCAACACCTGCCAGCTGAGAGGCATGAGTGGCTAATTCCTTGCTGTTTACTCTATTAATAAAGAACCTCCTTTTCCTGCAAAGGACTAATTAGTAAGTTCCACCAGAATGTATCTCTGAAACATTTTAAACCACGACTGTTTTCATAGCCCAAATGGAGCCGTAATATCCATCCAGCATAAGATAGATGAAGGATGTCATGTCATTCATTCAGATGTCTACACATGCTCTCAGACAACATGAGCAGTAGCCTGCCCCCTCCTTCAGTCTTCACGGTTTGAGGATATTCTCTAAATGATGCTGTTTGTGCAGTATTCTTGAGCTGGAGATGAGCCAGAGGGCACGGCACTGCTGACCTGCTTTCTGAGATAATCACAACCTCGGAGGAGAAGGATGCCAACGCTGCAGCGTATTGTAACGGCAGAGACAAATCACAGATAGAGGAATAAGATGGCTACTATACAACCAGTAAAGAATATAGAATGCCACCCAGAATTATGATCCAGAGTCCATTTCTCCTCAGCAGTCGTCGACTTATCGACTTAAAAGGCGTCTCGAAGACTACTGTGAGTAATCAGCTGGAACAAAAGAATGACTGTGTGTGTCATATTAGGCGCCCATCAGTAAAAATAACAACCAGTTTGCCCTTATGTAGGGAACTGTGACATGCTATGCTTCTATGCTGCATGAGAAGGGAAAAATAGTCCCCTATGGATTTTATAATCTATTTGTGTGAGGTAAAGATACACTAATCTGTGTTAGATTAATTAAATACTTTGTATGAACTGTTGAAAAAGCAGGAGATGCATTGTTGGTGCCATCATTTGTTTATTTTTTTTTACTCTAAAGAGGCAATGTCAGTTGTTTTAAACAAAAGACCTATATATTTGTTAAAAATGTTGCCCCAAAAGCTTCAAATGACCCTGACTTTTTACAGCCTCTGAAGTAAAGCAATACTCAATGTGCACGCACTGGATCTCTGTGATACCTAAAAAAATCTACTTATGTGCAGTAACAAAGTATTTGCATTTCATTACTTCCCACAGAGCTGCTAGTATGGCTGCAGGCTCTTAGTCTTGCTCAGGGTGGAGTCATGACCCACACATCAGTTCAGTCACAGTTCAATATTAGAGATGTAGATTTGTAAAAGAGCCCAACAGAAATATCATCTCCATAATCTGTTCTAATCTAATTAGATCTTATCCCACCACACTATGTACTTTACTGTGAAATCTCATCCTTAATTGCAGAGCTACAGAGCCAAAACTGTGGTAGAAAGAGACTAAGTAAACAAGATCCACATCCTGAGCCATTTCTCTTTCCCGGAGAAACCAGACCCGTGCAGGCTCAAGTAACAGTGCCACTTGTTGACCCCTCCTGGCTCCTGCTCTCACTAGAAACACCTTTTACACAGCAGCTCCACTTCACAGCTTCTCTGACCTGCCAGTGACTGCCTTACAAACTGGTTTGAGCAGTTCTCCATCAAAAAGACTGTCATCTGACCTTCGCTTAGAAGGGCTGAGTCCATAATGCTCACAGAGGGGATATTATTTCCACAGGCAGCCATTGTGAGTGTCAGCCCCTGCCAAGCACGTCTACGGTAACACGAATCACAATAAGTGAAGCAAAATGGCAGGACATATTTAGTGTGATACAATAAAAGAGGTGATACTTGTTGTCACTTGTTGTGACAGATATTAAACAGAACGGATGACTTTTATCACTGATTACATTTCACCACATGGAGCATTCATACACACTGTTGGTCTTGTTGTTTTTGTGTGTGTTCAGGACTCAGGGTTCATCTGCTCCACAATGTCAACCTGCTGCACCTGCTCCATAACAGCTAACGTAAACACTAAAATGCATCAGATGCAAGAAAAATTACATATGTGGTGAACTAAGTCTTCATCTCCTGGAAATTGTGTTTATGTACAGCTAAGGAAGGTGAAGATGTGTTTCTTATTACTACAGTAATGTTTGTTCGTTAGCGCTGCCTTGAAGTGAAATAAAAACAAAAAAGTGTTCTTGCAAAAAGTGACACTGACCTGTCTGTTTTCAAAATTAATGTATTGAAACATTTGTGAGTTGGCCTTTTCTTTTTGTACAGTGTAGAATAAAAGAAGGAATCCTTGGGCTCAGATCTTTGCTACTTTTACTAAATGCTAATTATGGCCTTGGATAACACCTCCAGCTCTGGGAGAAAGTGCCAGTGTTAGCAATGACATTTGAATAGTCTGAACTGACAAGTGCTCATTATTTAGACCTGCTGCCTTTACTGTAATTAAAGGAATAGTTTGAAAATTTGGAAAATAAACTTATTCACTTTCTTAAGTGAGATGGAATGACAGTGCAACAGTGAGATTGGTGAGAAAGGATATGCTGAAGGAGGCTGGACGCTTGACTCACAGCTGAAAGTGACTAATAAGATCAAACTCATTCTTGGCTCGTGTTATGCAAGTCTCCTCTGCAGGAAACACAGCTCCTTCAGCTCATGTGACAAGCTGCACTTCAGTACAGTGTTCACACCTGTAATATACACAATTGGTTCAGTATTTACAGCACTGTTTATGGTGCTGAAATCTGATACCAGAGTGGCTCCGCTGAAGATGGCTACTGTTCAATGATCCCACTATAATGGTTGCATAAATGTGGTGGTGGGTGAGTAGCATGCTTCAGTGGAGAGCGTACATGCAGAGGTGGGTGGATGAATAGTGAATCACAGATTAGTGACAGGTAATGGAGCAGGGCAGGTGAACCAGGAGAGCACAAGAAGCAAGAAGGTGGAGGGGCTTACGTGAGAGAGAGTGTGAAGTGAAAGCGCTGGCGGAGGCCCTTGAAGGTCAGGAAGGAGTGCGGGGGAAAGTTACGTGTGGTCATCTCACAGTAGGGCTTCTCGTAGCCGCCTGGTGGACACTCGCATTTAAACCCACCAACCAGCAGGTTGACGCAGGTGCCACCGTTCTTGCAGATGCCCGGAGCACAGCGTCCGGAGCGGGACGACAGCTCACAGCGGTCTCCTGGACACAGAGAGATGGATGGATATGGGTGGAGAGAAATTAGGATTAATATTGTTTGTGACAAGCAGCATCACCTCAGTCATCCCTGAGGCTTCCACCTCGTCAGACTCCAGGCCAATATAGTCTTTCTTTCGGTCACTGCAGCTGTTCTATATGTGCTATTACAGAGTGTAACATTCCAAGAAATATGAAATATACAGCTATACTATTTCAAACATACACAGATGGAGGAAAGATAAGTTATGACAAAGTCTATTAGAGGAAACTGGGCTTTAAATTATAAACTGTTTTTTCCCTCAATATTTGTAACTGTATGCAGTTTCAATATTTGTCTCTGTGTCAGACCCAGCACGACGACTCCTGCTCCTCCTCCTATGGCTGCAGTTCGTGCTGCATTCATATTCAGTGACTTCATGGCTCAAAGCAGTGAGTTGGAGGTGTTTATGCATTTACACAGTAAAACTGTCAAACTAAATTACTGCAGCTTCTGCAGACTGTGGTGGCTCCTGATGATTATTTTCAGCCTTTGCACACCTTACAAACATTTGGTGAGTCGACTGTTAAGTTTCAAAGTCAATTAGAAATAAATAAAAAAACACTAAAGTAGTAGTTGAGTCCTATGAGTTACTGCAAATTATGGCAATGTGATTTACAGGAAAGTTACTGAGTATTAACTAGGGCTATAAATAAGAATGATTTAAATAATTGATTAATTTATAAATCATTAATGATTAACCAATTAACTGGTTCAAAACTGTCAGAAAATTGTAAAAAAAAAAAAAAAATGTCTATTACAATTTCCTAAAACCCAAAGTGACATCTTTAAATATCTTGCTTTGATCGACCAACAGTCCAAAACCCAGACATTCATTTGAATATTACGCAAGATTAACAAACAGCAGAATCTCACAGTGGAGAATTAGCTATTTCTGCTTGGAAAATTACTTCAGTGATTAGTTAATTAATCAATTAATTTATCAAAATAGTTGCTGAGTAGTTTTCTCTGTCCATCAACTAATAACTATATTTATTTTTTAAAAATAAAAAATGTTCCAGCCTCAAATGGGAAGTTTTTACTTTGTTTTTCTAACTGAATATTTTTGGACTCTTTGTCAGAAAAAACAGTTCATCAGACAATTATTTTCAGACAGAGACAAAACTGTGCATCAGTTTACAGTGAAAATAATCAGTTAAATAATCAGCAGAGCGAGACACAGGACTTCAGGTCACATCAGACCAACAAAGCACAAACCGAACAGTGGCGATTATGAAGGAGAACAGTGGTGGTACACCGAGAGAGTGACACACGGGGAGACTGTGTCCCTGCAGTCCAGCTCACGTTTGTCTGGATACTCAGGACGAGAGGCTGCAGCAGTCGCTCAACCGAGCCGGCCTGCTCTGCCATGCATGAGCTGGAATCTGTGTCAAAGCTACTCGGTCAGCAGTGTGGAGGACTTTGGCTGTGTGCAGCATTACTGTAACACTGACACATATACACACACACACACCGCACCGTCATCCAGCACCACTGATACGCAGGCCTTTATTTACTCTGTGACTAATAATCACACCATTCACAGTCAACTAAATGCAAATTTGCAAATGCTGTTGATTGGGTACGACTATTCAAACTAAATATAAGAGATGCTACATGAGATGCTAACTTTGCTGATTATGACTGAACATTTACTGATTTACAAATATCGGCTGGGGCCTCGGAGACAAATAAACTTCATTCAGAAGGCAGCAGTGAAGATTTCAGCTGCAGTTTGCAACAAAGAACACAAGACTTACAAAAGGTTTTTGTTACTTAATGTAATGATTCATTAGTGAACTTGTTGCCACGTTGTAAGCCCATGTTTAGCTGCTTCTTACCCTCTGCCAACACAGTTTGTTTTGTCTGGTAAGACAGATGTTAAATTCACTGTTCTGATGCGCTTTTGACCGCCCACATCTGGGAAAAGGCTGCACAGCTTGATAACACCAGTGCATCATAATATAAGTATCACTTCATTGTCGAAGATGTTGAAGTGGACTTTTTTGACTACTTTAATACTGAAGTTAGTTTGCTTTTCTGAAACTTTGGATCATTTGACCCCTTTGAACTTTAAGAATTATTTTCCATAAACCGTAAAAAGTTTAGAGAAATGAAACTGATAACTTACACTAACATTTTAGCGTAAGAAATATGACAGTGAGCTACAAAACACGGCTTTAATTTTTAATAATATACAGTATTATAAAAGATTATCACATTAATATGTAAAGGCTTAATCTGAAAAGTAAAAACTATATCTTAGTCCTAGCCGCTCCAGCCTGTCAGCCTGTCATGTTACTACTGATGCTTCCTGATCACAAACACCGTTGGCTAGCCGGCTGGAAAATAAAGCCCATTGTTACCGTGCTGTCTGTCTCGTAATTAATTCAGCAGCTTGCTGTGGGCAGGAAATTACTTGTGTTTCTTTAAGCTGCCGTGGTGGTCAAACACAGCATAAGCAAACACAGCTGTGTTAAACAGAGATGCCGGGGTGCTGGGACTTCAGTCACAAACACAGATATATTTAAAAGTTAATTTAACTACAGGTTTAGATAGACTTGTACTTGATATATGCTTTCTGGTGTTCAGTTTCTCCTTGTGGGACGTCTCCACCACAGGTGCTCCTGAACAGCAGCTTTACGTTGCCAGGTGAGCAGCGCCGTGGGGCGGGGACGGGCTCACAGTCCCAGTGTCACAAAACATCCTGATTAATAATTCACATCTTCTCTGCTCAATTTCATCCCTCTAGAAGTCCATCCCAGTGTCCACACCCTGCTGCCAGCACGACTCATTAAGGCAGCAAATTGCACAGACACCTCAGAGATCCTGTTTTTATCTAGACATAAACAGACACTTTAATATCTGTTTATGGTCAAAATCTACACATATGATTGAACCTATAAACTGGAATTCACTGCAGATGAGCAAAATGTTTGGTTAGATCAAAAATATAGGCAAACATCACTTTAAAACAGAGTTAAAAGCAAATCACACCATGAAATATGAATAAAACATTAAGACCTTTGCCTACACAAGAGCTAAAATAATTGTTTTTCTGATAAACAACATAAAAAAATAAGGGACAATTTACTTGGATTTGCAGCATCACTTTTGTAGTTCATTATAAATGAATCTCAATGGATTTGCACAAAATGGATCAAATGTGACAAATAACACTACAGTGAATGACAATTTAATGAAATTCAAGCCATTGCTGCAGATATTCACACTGAAAATCCACACCAGCTCTTATTTGTCTAAGATCAGTGTTCAGTAATGGATAATTAAACCTTATGAGAGAATCATCAAAAGGTGCGATGTGCAGCACCAGTGTGTGCAAACTGTTCCTTTAGTGGAGGTTTCCTCAGAGACCCTAAACCAGAACAGGTGCGCCTGGGCTGCTAAGTAACAGACGAGCATCCCTGCTCCTCCTGAGTGAACCAGCGTGGGTGGATCCCTGCGGATGCACCAGAAGCACCGAGCTCAGAAAAGATGAACATGTTCACAGCAGCTCAGACTCATGTTTGCTCAAACACATCTAATTCCTGTGATGACAAGGTTAGTGTGAGGATATTCAAAGAACTTCATCTGAAGCAGGAACCACTAGGAGGTAAAGAATGGGACACTATAATAAAGGTACCGGTCATCTAGGGGCTGAGGATCAGACACTTCTCACTAGACTAGAACAGTCCAAAGCAGCAAAGCCTAATCATTTAAATGCACCAAATTAAATCTCTGTAAACATGCTAGTGGCAATGTCAGTTGTTCCGTCTGTCAGCTGATCCACAATTTTGCCTGGCTAAAAAAAAATCTCATCAAATATTGGAATGCACTGCCATAACGTTGGGTACAGATAGTGATGGACTCTGCAGCATAAAGTGTAGCACCACTAAAACTGTCCAACAGGAGTAGAATAGAAGAAAAGGGGCAATTTGACTCACAGACAGCAATTAAAACTGACAATCCCACATATGCATAAACACACCAAACTGTCGTGAATTATTTATCTCCAGCACTAAGAACAAAATATAAATCTTAAAATCTAATAATAATAATAAATAAACTCACTATGTAAGGGAAGCTGCCTTCTGTTTGACTCTAGCCTGATAGATATGACACCAATCTTTGAAATTTACACCCTTCCAGTTAACATCAACAGTCCTTCCCAGCCAAACCATCAGATCACAGGATATGTCCGAATTGACAGTAAAGGAGGTACACAACACTCCCTGTTCCTGTTCCTGTTGCTGATGGACTGGATCATGCAGATGTCCACAGCTCAGAAACGTGATCAAATCCTTAGAAGCAGACGGACGACCTCGACTCTGCAGATGATCTAGTTCTATTGTCAGCATGTTAGCACTGTCACTGTGGAGGTATTAGGATTTACCTCAATGAACTGCAGTACCTCAATATGAACCTCAGAGAACAGGTAGCATGGCTGTTAGTCTCGTTTGTTATGGTGCTCTTATTTGACTGTCAGCATAGAGAGACAGGAAATATGAGGAAGGACAGAGGCATGACAACAGCCCTCCAGTGGGGAGTAAAACTGTTAATGTGATATGCGCCTTATCCATTAGGCTAATGGGGTTTCTTCTTCACACACCTTTGAACATAACCTTTATTGCTATAGTTCTAAACTCTGAAGATAAGCAAAGGACAAAGCCTGAACAGCACATGTTGTAATTAAGGCATTCAAACTCTCTCCTTTCTTTTCAACATGGCCTGTGTGTCTGGCAACATTTTTTGTATTCATGTCATCTCTCAGAGACAAACTGTGGTAGATTCCAATCCTTGGCAGGTGCTAATTTCATACACTGGTGTGAGATGATTTGAAAATGGGAGGATGAACATTCATCAGTTTTTGTTCCAAAAGCATCTTTGCACTTTAAACCTCACAAATGCATTCAACTCAATTATCGCCCCCCCCCCAAACAACAAACAAACAAACAACAAACAAACCCAGACTCTATTATGGGAAGAGGTTGGCAGTTAGCTGGTGATGGATCATCACAAACACACCCAGGATATGTTTCAGTCATTAATATCATACAGACAGTCTTTTAAAAGATGAGTGTTGCTCCTGCGGTGTGGTTTAAAGGAAGCATGTGTGAAAGCTAAAGGAAGACACGTCTTGTTGTTCAGCGTCTACAGAATGACTCAGCCGAGCCAAAACACAAACTCTTCAACAGCAAAGATGATAGCTGTTATATATATATATATTTTTTTCCATTTTCTTTCCTGCTACCATCTGGCAACGCCTACGATCCAACAGTTGCCCACGCACACACACAGAGAACCCCACCACAGTGTGAAGACTGAACTCAACACTCACTGAAGCAGAAAAGTGGATCACAGAGGAAAATGCATCAAATAAAACCTTCCTGAACAAGCTTGTCTGATCAAACAGTCTGACAGTGTGATCCACACATCTGTTCTCATCAACTATAGAATCACATTCAGTCTCTGATAACTCGATGAGCCCTGCACACCACGTCTAACAGCAGATGGGTCCGGACCCCCAGCTGACTGAGCTAAGTGGAAGCTAACTGGTCGACGCTGCTGTCAATGTAAACGAGTGAAAAGATGCCCACTTTACATTCATTCTGCAGCACTGCTGATTCACATTAAAAAGCACCTGTGTTCAGCTCCTTCGCCCACCACTGAGCATACTGTGAGTGCCACTCAACCTGGACTCTGGCTGCGCCCACACACTCAGATACTGGCACTATTTCAGGCTTTAAAAACAGCACCAGCACAAGTCTGACAAGGAATAATGGAAGCGATGCCACTACTGAGAACACAAAGACATGATTTTCTGCTCTCCAGTTTAGCTAATTTTCAACAGGAACAAAACATTCTGATGGTAGTTTTTTGTTGATGTCATCCTATGAAAATAAGATTTTGCAGAAGGTTCTGCACCAGCTGAAGATGAAACTAAAATCACCTTAAAAAGTCAGGATTTGACCCAGTTAACCTCCTAATAAAAAGATGGGTCAATTACCCTACTATTCATACTGTATAAATTAGAATATTTAAATGTTCTTCCACTTTCAACTGTGTTTCAACTTCTCCCTTTTTTCTGTTTTCTGTGAGTAGGCAGCCCTTAAGTGGTTCATAATTCTGCTGCCAACAGTAATAAATTAATTCTTCATTTTTGCTGGAAACTGAATCTCTCTGTCTCAGCACACTGTGTGCTTTGTGATGTAGTTGTTTTAAGTTTTATTTTTTGTTTGTTTGTTTTACCATGGGGTATTTCACAGGCATGAACACTCTCCATCTGTAGCCAGGTATAATTAACTATTTCCTTACTTTCCTCCACTCAGCGATGCTACTCTGGACAGAGACACTGCTGCTGTTTTCTTTCTGCAAAACTCTCAACACAGTGTAAAGATCTTTCTGAATGTCCCCAGCCCACAAAACACACATCAGCTAGGAAGCAGAGTTTGTTATATCACCTTTCCGCCTGCTCTTTGGATGTGAGCTTTGAAACGCAGTCCACTCCTACAGCTCAGCTGAGTGTAGGTGGGAATAAGTATGTAGGCATACAGGTTAAGATACGCACCCATAAATGGATTCTGAATAAAAAGGAAGGAGGGATACACAGACTTTGTCACTGTGAAGAAAAACAAATGAATATGACGTCGTATGAACCCCCAGTTACTACTTCTTTACTACTTCTTAAATGTACAGAATATTGTAGTGGCTGTCTATAAGCTGTGTGTTAGAGTTTACTTCCACTGTGGCTGACTGCAACAGGGATAATCAGATCAATAACTCATCACTCAGCCTTTGTCTGCAGAGCTGATGTCATCAGTGTACAGGACAGTGTGTGTCTATAAAGAGCCAGGTTCAATAAAAAGCTGAAGAGGGGAGTGAATGGGACAGATGTAAACGTTACAGCTCCTATGGGAGCTTTGTGAAGGAGGCGAAATTAACATGTTGGACAAGCCACATGTGGACAGCTTAGCAGAAGTCATACCCTTTCACCTTCTACTGAATTCAGGATTATTATTCAATGGGAACTCGTGGAGTATGAAAATGACCTAAAAACAACAGTCTAATCAGAGCTAAGAACGATGTGTGTGGGTTCTCTGAAGAGGTTAGGACTGTGTTTTTAAACCACCTTAATAAACCAAGAAACACAACAGTAAAAATGTCAGGAACATATTTAACTGTGTGCCTTTAAGCTCTAGTGAAAGCTACAAACATTTGTGTGTCTGGCTAACCAGCATATGCAGTAGTAATGCTGACGCAGCATTATTTCAAATGAGGTTGCATCATTTTGTGAGGCTACAGATTACATCAGTTTAAGAATGACTGAGATGCTGTTCCACCACTGTGTGTGAACCAGACCTGGATGCTGCCGTTTTTCCCATTTCAAGGTCATGTTTTAGGAAGAATTTTTCCTTATTCAAACTGAAGGTCTAAGGATAGAGGGATGGTATGTACAGACTGTATAGTGGATTAAGGAGAGAGATGAGCTGTCCAATGACTCTATAAAGAAGTGGAATAGTCCCAAACATTTGGAGCAGTGCCATAGAGTTACGCTGACTTGGCTGCTAACTTCTAAAGTAAGAGGTTAAAATCTATAGAGATACTTGTGCTAAATTAGCCAAACTATCCAAAACGACAACACACAATGAGTTTGGAAGGCTGTTTAAGTCACTGATAGATCCCACCGGTCCCTACTGAAAACCAATCTGAATCGACTGTTTGGTACAATATGAAGCTACACGAGTCATGTGACCCACTACTGTTTTTAACCCCTCATTGTCACGACTCTTCTATCTTAGGGGCTCTGAGCTGACAATGTGCAAGAGGCAGGGTACAGGTCGCCAGTCTATCACAGGGCTGACACATAGAGACAGACAACCACTCACGCACGGTTACATTTACACCTATGGCCAATTTAGAGTCACCACTTAACTGGTCAGCAGCAAGGTTTGAACCTGGAACCTTCTTGTTGTGAAGTGACCATGCACCACTGCACCATCATGCTGCCCCAGACCAGATTTATATTTTCAAAACTTAGGACAAATTTCAGTCATAAATCTGTCACCATTATCACTACAAACTGTAAACTGCATATTTGCTGTGTGAGAATAGAGAGTTTAGGCATAGCAACTGTAATGAGGGAAGGTCAAAAGGTTAATGAAGCCATGAGATAAGACTGAAAAACACTGCTTCATTAGTAATTAGGTTTATGTAAAATGAGGGCTCTCACCTGTGTAGTCCTCGAAGCACTCGCAGGTGTAGCCTCCCTCTCTGCTGCGACACACACCGTGGGCTCCACAGGGTTTAGAGTAGCACAGATCAATCTCCGTCTCACAGTAGTCGCCTGTGAAGCCGGTGGGACAGCGGCAGCGCAGCCCGGCAATGGGATGAATGGGTCTGAATAGGATGGTGTCTGAAGCAACAAACGGCGCCAAGCTATCAAACTTCAGCACTGACACACACTTCATGTAGTTCTCACATGGCTCGCGCAGGCAGATGTTGTCGTCAAAGGGAAGAACCTCCTGGGAAGAGATCTGGGCAAGAAGGCTGCGGTTCAGGTACAGCCTCTCCTGGAGTTCCTCTGAGGCGAAAAACTCTCCACCTCCACTTTCAGCCCCTCTCCCATGTCTGTCACCTTCGTGACCGCTCGGTCCTCCAGGCCGCTGGTGTCCCTCCCCAAACACGGGCACCGCCACAGACAGGCTGACGTTGAGGATGTGAGCGCTGACATCTGTGTCATCCTGGATGTTAAAGATGACAACGTCCTCAGGGGCGGCCGATAGGACGCGGGCCACGCCGTCGAGAAACTGGGCAAGCAGCAGAGAGAGGAAGTGCTCCTGGGAGGTGTTGGCCAGCCTCAGTGTAATGCTGTTGGACAGCATTTCATCGGTGATGATGGTGACTTGGAGAAGGCACTGAGCCGACACTGAGTGGATACCATCTGAAAATGACAAACACGACAGGAAAACAGGCAGTTAACATCAGACTAACAGCACATTACACCGGCAGCTAGTGACCAAAAATGATTCACTGTTAGATGTAATCACTCTTCCTGTTCTTACAGATATTTTACAGATTCTTTCCAAGAGTGCTTCTAATGTAAGTGATGGGAGACAAAATCCATCAAATCAATCTGAAGTGAATGAGGCCTCAACAATGTGAGTTATTCATTCATTCATTCATTTTCTACAGCTTAGTCCCTGAACGGGGTCACGGGGGTGCTGGAGCCAATCCCAGCCGGCAATCGGGCGAAGGCGGGGTACACCCTGGACAGGTCGCCAATCCATTGCAAGGCTACAATGTGAGTTAGACAAATCAAAATGGATTTCTACCAGTTTTACAGTCTTTTCAGTAAATAAATTCCCCCTTTGCTACACTGTACTTTCACCACAGCTCAGCGAGGAAACACTGTAGAGGGAATAACCGTCGGGCATCTCTTACACTGAAACTGACTTGGTAACAAAACACTTGGGCTAGTATGAAAATGAGGAATGATTAAGGCAAACAAAAGCTGTTGGTTGTTATGAGAAGTGCTAGTCGATAAAGTGCTGAGCTCGGATGTCAACAGATCAATTGCCATAACAGCTGAGCAAACACCATCTTCTAATGAAAGTGAAGAACGCTGTCCACTCTAGAAAAAGTTAGTGAATGAAAACTGGGAATATTCTGCATTTCTGTTAGTGTCAACAAATCTCATGGAAACACCAAAACCAACAACACATTCATGTTTCTTTCTTTTCCTTCTTCTTTTAACGTCCTTGCTTCCCTATTCTATCTGTGGCTCTCAGGCCCAACCCCACTGGTTCCTGCTAATGTTCATGTTGGCTGGACCTCACTGAGCTCTCAAACACTCCTCCACCAGAGTTATTTTATTTATAAAGCCATTTTTGGCCTTTTACCAGCTTATTTGTGCACTCACATGGAAAGGAAAGTTGGGAGCTCCTATGCTATTTGATAATGCTCACTGTACCATAGGTTAAACCAAAATTTGGCAAGCGAGCCTTTTTTATGCTGCTCCTCATATGTGGAACTCTTGCTAAAATTGCACTGGTTAGTTTACTTGGGTAGATTTAAAGCTTTGTTGCACAGATTCAGTGTTTCAACAAGTACTTATTTGTTAATTTTATTTGTATTAATTCTGTAAACTGATGTATCTGACAACTGCTTGCATGCCTAATGAGAGGGTGTTACGGATTTATTTGTGTTGTATTTGGACACTAATTGAAGTATATGAAACGGAGAAATAAGGTATATTAGACTTTGGATACACAGGAAATACTTGTTAGCGTATTAAAAACAAAGTGTAGAATATCATTCTTTAAATATCCGGATGTTTTCATCTTCTAAAACATTCCCATCTGATACTGTATTAAATCAATAAACTTGAGTCCTTTGAAAACCAAAGTCACTGACAACTGCAGCAACAACACCTATGCAGCTGCACCGACCCAGTGCACGTATACGCATGGTGGATGTTTTCTGCCACGGCTGCTGATGTGCCACCAGGCCTGGGTGTCTGCAATGAGCCATGTGTAAACAAAGTAATCGCACAGCTGTTACTGGAAATGCAAAAATAGCTAAGAATGATGACATAAAGCAAAAAAATACCTAAGACTGCGAATAAATTGACGCTTCAATAAATAAATATTCACACTTATAGTTGAGTGTTTTTCTAGCCGCTGCTAATGTGCCAGGAACAGACAACGGATGTATGCCAAGACTGAAACAAAACAAGTGTATGTTTTTCATCAGTTCATTCCATGTTTCTAAATCAGCAATTTCATGCCAGTATTCACAGCTCACTCGTTCCTTTCTTTGCCTGGAAGCAGAGAAGCTACTTCATTATGCCACTACTTCATACTTCATGCTGAAATCCTGAAGTCTCCAATTCAACACTACAAGCATTTCTCAGCTCCAATGATCTCTTGTCTTTCATTTTGGATGTAGACATTAAGTGTATTCATGTTTATTAATTTGCGTGTTAGGCCTTTATTAACCGTGTCAGACATTGCTGTTGGTGAATAAAATGTAAATATTTTACATTATACACATTACCACAGCCTCTGACTTATGACTTTGCTAAGCTTACATTCTTGATTATTTTTCTAGTGTAACAACATTTACAATAAAATGAAAACTGCTTATCATCCAAAAGCAGCTGAAAGTCCCTGACGGAAGCATTTGGAGCACTGCTCACCGAGGATGAAAAAAGCCTCAGCTGTCCAATCATGAGGAACAAAGAACGCACAGAGGGATGTTCAGTACGTTGCTAACAAGCACAAGACCTATGGATCTGTGTCTGGTACAGCTGCTCTAAATGCAGCAGACAGAGAAGGTCATCACCAAGTGTACGACTTAATCGGAATCACTCTTCATTCTGACCAGTCACCAGTTTGGGCATGAATTTCTTTTGAGTCTGATTATTATTAGTTGATCTGAATAAATGGCATGAGCTAAAATATCATGTAATAGTAGCATAAATAAAGAAGAGTTAAAGACAACCGACTCTGGTTACCTAACAATATTTAGCCCACAGTCATGTTGCTAACATTATTTTTTTCAAAAAAAAGTTTCAGGAGCAAGCGCAAAACAGGCTTCAATCAAATCAAATGAGTCATTAAAACAAGCTTCAGCCTCTCTCCCCAAAACAATCAATGGGACACTGTCTGGGCGCCTGGACGCTGGCCAGGGAGCAGAACCTGCGACCAGAACTCACACAAACAAACAGCACTGCCTGAAGTTACCACATCTCAGTTTGGCAGTGGGCGATTTAAACACAGAGCGCTGAGGAGCGGGGGGTCCATAGAGGAAGTGAGGCAGAGAAGCTTGTTTGACACGGCTTTAATCCTTCTGGTTTCAGTCAAGTGCTTCCAGCACTGTCATAATATAGGGCCTTAGCAGAGGAAGTGGGGGAAAATCAAAGAAGAGACACCAGCAGGGTCGCTCCTCTTATTCACGCTGTACTGTAAACACACACACCTGTGTATACAAGAAAACACTCGCATATAAGAGAGGAAACAGCACAAAGGCAGAGCAGATCAGGCTCTACACGTTCTCAGAGAAGAAAAACTTACAACCAGAGAAAAATGGGTGATTTCTTTGATTATAAATGAACCTGCTGAGTGTCAGATTTATTATTTGATGATTTAAGGCAGTGGTTCCCAGCCTGGGGTGTTGGGAACCACTGCGTGCAAGTCACATGATAAATTTGAGTGTGTAAGAAAAAAAAAAAGCTCTTAAAATTCAGTTTCCCAGAGGCCACGCCAACATGTTTAGATGTTTAGTTCTGTCCAACAGTCCAAAACCCAAAGACAGTCTGTTTAATATAAAGCTTAAAAGAAATCAGTAACCATTTACAATCAAAAGATTCTGTCCACGGATGAATAATCGAATAACTTGCTAGAACATTAATATTGTGGAAAAATAGCATTTTGGTTTTATATCTGTGAACAACCTTGCAGATTCAGACACAACAAACTTAAGCTTTAGATGTTTATATCTCCATTTAAAAATATTCCTTGCAGTTTTCATCAGTCATAAAAAAAAAAACACGCACACAGCTTGTTGAAATGATGGTGCGCTCTACATCCACTCAGAATCTGCCAGTGAAAACCTCACTGATGATTACAGGGTCTAGACAAAGGAGTATTTCAGATGCTGAGCCTCATGGGAGACAAACACAATATTAAGTGCTATAAGTAAAGCAAAGTAAAGCATTTAATGTTCACAGGCTTGCTGAAGTAACATCTAACTTATTATGCATACTGAAATTCTTTCTCAGTTGACCTACACTGCTTTCTACCTCTGCATCCATTCAGCTCATATTGTAACTGATACTCTGCAGCAAAAGTGGCCAGAAACACACAGTTCTCAGTAAACAGAGGTTCTTAAAGGTTAGGCCATGTATAAGGACAGAAATCGCCTTAATTACATCCTCTGCCAATTCACATTCTTGTTTTGGAGCTTGGGCACTGTGCCACACAGAGACGCAGCGCTGGGAAACTGAGTGCGAGGAGAATCTCCCCTGAAAGGAACCAGACCATCCTTCAAAGAGGTCATTCTCCATGGAAGGATCCTCCGCTCAGGAGCCGAGGGTAAGCGGAGCGTTTTGGGCCAAAAAGAAGGAGAAGAGGGATGTTTAGTTGGTAATGAGACAAGGTGCCAGCTCTGAAGTGTGACACAGTTTCCAGCCCAGAGGTCGACCCCCCCCCCGACCCAGGGGCTCTGGGTGCCAGGAATGCTCTCAGCTAGGAAGTGGCGCCAGGGAAAAGATTAAATGCACTGTGGCTGCAGGACTGCCAAGACTGTGTACGGCATTGTGTGTGTGTGTGTGTGTGTGTGTGTGTGTGGGTGTGTGTGTGTGTGTGTGTGTGGGGGTGGTGGATGTCTTGAGGAAGTGATCACTGTTGTCATTTAAAAACATCATAACTTGCTGATTTAGGTGAGCTTTGTGCTTCTAAATACACTTTTTCAAGGCTGTACCTACAAACACAACTGAGAATTTTCACCTGAAAGTCAAATGACTCTTTCTAAACTCAAATCATCCGGCACCGAAACAAAATATTGTAAAAGTTATTGTTCATTTTCCTAATATAAAATCAAGCATGTCAACAGAGCCAATAGCAAGAGCTCCAAGAAGATATTAATGAAACCCAGTTTCATCTGAGAATTATGAACAACAAATACTCCACTAACACGCTGAGTGAACACAAACAGCCTTTAGCATGGTGCGCTTGCTATAAAGAATCATACAGTATTAACAAAACAAGATATAGAGATTTCTGTTTAAAGACTAGTTGGGGTCCTAGTGGCTGGGAACACTAAACTGCTGAAAGAAAGACAGAGACAAAGAGAGAGAACAAATTGGTGACACTGGCCTAATTAGACCACAAAGTTGCCATCAAATCTCCCAGCTGAATCACAGCAAATGTCAACAAAGTC